GCACTCCTTGCCATCTTTTGACACAGTTGACCACCTGCTCCTCCTCAATAAACTCCAATCCCTTGGCCTCCAAGTCTCTGCTCTCTCATGGTTCAACGCCTACCTATCCCAGCGCACCTTCAGTGTCACCTATAACTTCCTCCTATCCTTTTTCTGTGGGGTCCCCCAAGGCTCTGTCCTTGGGCCCCTTCTATTCTCCATCAACACTTCTTCCCTGAGTCAGTTGATAACATCCCATGGCTCCTAATACCAATCACTATGCCAACAACTCTCAAATCTATCTCTCCACTCCTCAGCGCACCCCTATCTCCTTACGCATCACTAATCTACTCACTGACATATCAACATGGATGTCACACCATCTGTCTAAAACTGAGCTCACAGCAAGGTGTATTGCCAGACCTGCTAGGGAGAACAAGGCTTTAGACAAGGGCATCAAAACTTTTGTCTATGAGGTACTTGAAAACTGGGACATCCTTAAAAGGAACCATTAAGGTTTTGGTAAGGTAGGAAATGGCAGGGTTCATGACTGGTACTTTCCATTTGTTTAGGAACTCTTCCTCAAATGGGTATTGCTGAGCAATACATTTGGGATGTACGAAGATTTCCTCAGGATGAGGCCAGACACCATACAACACAGGTTGTGAAAGCGAGTGTACAGGGAAGGTTTTGGCAGGCTAAGGCAGCTTCAGTGAGCCCTGGCTGGTGACTTTTCACATGTGCGCTTTACATCAATAAGGATAGAAATGCTATCCTTCAGCTTGAGAGAGATTTTGGCGGATTAGGTATCCTCCAATACTAAACTCTCTAAGTCAGGTGAGATATCATCCTCCTCCTCACCAAGCACAGGGGCACTCAAAGGAAAATTAGAATGGAGGAGAGGATGTAATTGTAGTCCCCTGTGGTCTGAGTCCTCTATAAGGGCTGAGATCTCCTCTTCAGCTAAACAGGAGGAGGGGTGCACCCGAAGGAGCTAGGATGGCCTCCAGGGCATCGGCTCTGATTGGGGACAGCAGTCAGAGCTATCAGAATTAGGAGCCTGCACGGAGATGACACTGCCCTTCTTCTTGGCCATATGTGTGCTGACTGGGCCCACAGACCCATTCCCCTTGGCAATATGATCTGCCATGTGAGATGATGTATATCATAGGAGTGCTCACAGAGTACTGCAGAGCAGGAAGAGTACGCCTTTTGTGACCAGTCACTGTAGGCAGAGGGGCCCAGTGCAGAGGAGCAGCACCAACCAGGAAAGATGAAAATGGCATTCACATGCGCTATACAGCTGGTCAGAAAGAAGGTGTGCAGACACCCTGGCAGGTCTGGATCATGACACGGGCCACACAAAAATGCTCCGTGCGTGCCCGCTAGGGGGCGCGCGCGAGCAGAAAAAAATTGCCGTCTGGAGACGGCAACCCGCAGATGCTGCAGTGCCGTCCGTCCGTTTTTTTACTACGGGCAGACGGCAAGAGGTTAAAGGCAAAGCATGCCGAACTGTCCCTCGCCACTGGCTGTGATTTAATGAGTCCAGAGTGCAAACAGCACACTGAATTACTGTTGGACTAAAGTCCTGACTTACCGTCGCCTTGTGGTCCTCCCAGCAAATAGACAGTGAATAGCAAATCTTCACCCAGCTAATGGGCTCACCCTTTAAGAAGTCTTCAGTGACAAGGTCACAAAAGGTGGAAGTGCCACGGCTCTGGACCTGTATAGCACTCTTTGGCTATCTTAATGCACTGAACTACGTGCCTAGGTGAGCGCATAATGTACTATACAGCACCCAAAACAACATTACAGGCCAGTCCCATATCTTCTTTCTGCTGGAGCCCCAGTGGCTATGCAGCAGCTAAAGGTGTTGCTAGAAGAGTCTTGATAGAAGTGACAGATAAAGTAAGTGGTTTGCTTCTTTCAGCAGAGAGAAGTCATCCAACATCTAAGGACACTAGCAGAAAACTGAGGCTTGTTGGCAGTGGAAGGGGTTATATTAGGGTTGTCCTTACAGCTTTGTCAGTGTCCAATCACCTGAAGACAGCAGCATATAACCCATGGCCTAAAGCTCTGATCCCGTGTCCCATGCTGTATGATTTAGAAAGGGATTTATAGTGGTATAAATGTGTCCCAAGAGGGACACAGCAATGTGCTTTACATATGTGCATTGCTCTCCGCTTGTTTCCGGAAGCCAACAGAGCACATTTAAAATAATGTGATGAATTCTCATAAAGAAACAGTACAGTTGACCTTGTTTCTACAACAGACAAGTATTTAATCTTATTTAATATATGTTTTCAAAACAGACAGTAAACAATTTATGAACATTAACAAAATCCAGTTAAAATGTTAAAAGTACATATCATCTTAATAATTTTACACAAAAGTTTAGATACTTAAAGCAGAACTAAACGCGTTTGTAGAAAAATTGCTAGCAGGTAGGTTTTTCATGACCGAAGTGACTCTGTATGTCTCCTCTGCCATAAAAGTTTGTTTCCTTATTGTACTCCGAGCTGCAAGTGCGCAGATCAGTGTACAATCTTGGCATGCCTTGGGTGCCGGGATGAAGTAACTCCTGTGCACACACTACACCCAACTGAGACTTCTGAAGGCTGAGGACCCAGGAGAAGACCAGCAGATGATAGCAGCTACAGTGACAGAGTGAAGAGGTAAGTGTGCCGTAGGTTGCTAATGTTTTTTTGCATACTTGCACATTAGGGCAAAGCCCCAGGGGCCCCAAATATGTTAAGTTCTGCATTAAACAGCTCCAGAACAATGTATAATGAGGAGAGGGTATAAGTGCAGGTGCGTGTATATCTTACCTCGATTGTAGAAAAGGTTATTTTCTTAAGGTCTTGTGGTACATGCAACTGTAGCTTTGCCTTGCTTTCTTATCTATCAGGAAATATTCTCTCTGACACACACTAAATATTTTTTTTATCCTTGCACAAATGTGCTCATAGTTTTAAATACCCTTGCCAGAATTTGTAAGCTGTTAGCCAATTTTGCTGCACCAAGGCTAAAAAACATTCCACTTAATATATGCCAAAGATGTATCTGCACATTGGCTACTTTGTTGTTCGAACTGCTACAAAATTCAATAAAGATATATTGTTGAAAAAAATAAAATAAATAAAAAATATGGCAAAGAGCACCTAGAGAAGCCTCAAAACGTCTGGAACAAAATCATGAGACAAATTACATTTTATGGTCACAGTCCTAAATGCTATTTTTGAAGAGAAGTCAACAGGGCCTATAGTGAAGAATGGAGGTAAATCTCTGCTAAGTCCAGGGAATTTAGTAAAAAATAATAGCAAGATGAATACAGCATATTATCAGAAAATATTGGAGGGAAGTTTGCATTTATTACCAAGACAGTTGCTCGCAAGGACCATTGAACATGACAATGATCTGAAACAAAAACCACCCTTCAGTATCTGTAGCAAAGTGAATTGGCTTCTTTTTTTTTTTTAAAGAAGAAAGGGCAGCTTTACTACAGGCTAAAATACAGACTGCAAGCTGTCACTGATGCTAAAAGGGGCAATATATGATAATCAAGAGGCAAGAGTCTTTCCTTTATTCCTATGACTTGTTAAATGAACGTGTTATTCTGTCCAGCCTAATAGTTTAGTTGAAATCAAATTCAAAATAAACAAAAAATTAGTTTGGTGTGATCTCTCACTATTTTCTTACAAAATAGTCCACATAGAACCAATTCTGCCAGGGGTATGTAAGCTTATGAGCTCACTACATACTTGTTGGTAAATCTAAAGGAGCTTGTTTAATCAGTTTGTAACATGTATGACCAGTATTTCAGCCACAACAGCTGCAAGGAAGGTTGAACATATAGGAGCTCTCTGCTGACCAAAGCATCATGTGAACAGAAGTGCATAGGTAAAATTTGCACATGACCACCCATCTTTTAAAGCATATAGTTAAAAGAAAATTGCTGGTAGGTAGAGTTTTTAGACAGAAGATATTTTGTATGTTTTTTCTGCCAAAAAAAACCTCTTTAGCCTGCCTGCTAGCAATACAGAGCATGTGCAGTATACATTCCAATCCCGCTCACAGCAGTTGTAAGATGCTGAGAACGAAAAAGGGTGCACAATAATGTAAAGCAAGCACACATAATCAGTGGCCCACCAACAGCCAAAGAAAGAAGACGCCACACCCAGAAGAAGAGTATAAGAAGATGGTAGCAGAGGTGGGGAGTGCCGACCTTGCATTGCTGGAGTAGGGTAAACCCAGAGGTTAGTGTGCTATAAATGTTTGCATCTTCTTTCTTCAACCATTGGGCAGCCTCTGATGATGTAGCTCCTGAACATGCATGTGAGTTTGCTGGGACTGTACACTTCCCTAACATTAGCTGTAATTTGCAAACTAAAAAAATTTGCTAGCAGACAGGTACTTGGGTTTTCTGCATACTAGCACATTTATGGTAAATGCTGCTGTGGCCAGCCTTTTATAAAGTTCCTCTTTAAATACATATGTGTTACACTTCTCAAGTAAAATGTTCTTTGTAAGGCCTCATCCACACAGCTAAGAGCTGTCCCGTACAGATCCGTGCGGCATGCCAGTATCGGGCCATTCCCGGGAAGGACAGGTGCTGTGTGTGATTGTACACATCAACCTGTTCTTCTTTATGGGAGTATGCGGCCGTACGCCACCGTACGCTCACCCAAACTGTATATACGTGCGGATGCGGGTGTCCATGCTCGGACGCAGACAGGATCCATCCCCCATGAAGAAGAACAGGCTGCTGCGTACAATCACACTCAGCACCTGTAATTCCCGGGAACGGCCCGATACGTCCGTACACGCCGCACGGATCTGTATGGGCCGACACTTAGCTGTGTTGCAATGAGGCCTAAAGCTAAAGAAACATGATTTAATGCTATTGATCTTTTCAGATGGAAAGTGATACATCCCATTTTCCCGAAAGTAATTTATAGTGAGAATTTTACAAAGGGAGATATGTACAATGTAAAAATACCATTAAAACAGAGGGGAAAATGTGTTGAAAGAAGAACTACACACAAAGAGGAGGGATAAGAAAGCGAGAATCCCTAATATTTTAATGTCTTTCTTCATACTATTTGAAAAGCAAAACATTCTCCAGGACGTTAACAGGAGGCAAGTAAAGTTTAGATCTTCTCAGCTCCTTCGTGATTTAGAGTGCTGGATAAGCCACTGTAGTGTTATATCTGAAAGAATAATAAAAATAAATAAATATTGTAAAGGCCGGTGTGCATAATAATAGCTCTTTAAAATGTCTAAAATAAGAAGTGTTACACCTAAATACCAATGAGATTCTACAATTTATTAATTCAACCAGGTCTGGAAACATGAAAATGGAAAAATGTATCATACCCACCCATAATTTCCTTTCCTGGTGCCTATCCATGGCAGCATACCCTTGATATAGCTCCACCCCCCTATCCCCACCTACAGGACCAGTGAAAATCTATAAATGAGAAAGAAACCTCCTGCATTCTCGTAACTATACTCCGTCAAGACAGGGAGGGATAATATGCTGCCATGGATAGGCACCAGGAAAGGAAAATTATGGGTAGGATACAATTTCCCATTTTCCTGGTGCCTGTGGCAGCATACCTTGATCAATATCAAGCTAACAGGGTGGGTAATTGCAAGAAATGTATTGAGAAAAAGAAGCTTGGATAGCCTGTCTCCCGAAATCCACTGTTGTCAGAAGTCCAAGATCAATTCTATAATGTGTGCTGTGAGGACCAGCTTGCCGCTATGCATATCGTCTCGATCGGGACCTTGGCCTGGGAGGCCCATGACACTGCCTTCGTTGAATGAGCTCTCACTAGCCCTCTGAATCACCTTCTACATTGGTAAAACCAAATGCCAATTTAGATGCTGCAACTGCAAGCAGTCCAACTAATTGGCCGACTAACTAATCAATAATGAAAATCATTGACAATGATTTTCAGTATCGATTATTACCAACTTTGCCGATCAGTTATTTCATCCCTATATAGATTTCTCTTTATCCATCTTATATAAGGTGGATACATTGAATATAATACTATTTTGTATGTTTTAACATAGTGTTTATATTATTGTAGATATCATCCCCATACTGTCTGTAGAAGCAGACTAAGTTCAGTGAAACCCAATAGAAAAGTGTGCCCTTATTTCACCAACTATTGACAAAAATATGTCATATTGTACAATGTTTGTATAAACCAACTTCACAAACTCTTGATGGGGGATCTTAGGCACAAATATGGGTTTTAGAGAACGTTGTGATTTACCATAAGCAATATGTGAATGTTAATATAAATACCTGGGCTTTCAAAACACTTTTTTATCTGTATGATCTTTTATAATAATTGTAAATAACATTTTTGTTTTATACAGTTTAATATTTCATTTTTTATTTTGCTGACACCTTAAAAATCCTATTTGTCTACTGTCTGGAGTTACATGCTATAATTAAAGGCATGTGGTGTCTTAATCTATTAAATCAGTGACAATATATATGATTATTTATGTTTCAAGAATTGTAAGTGGAATATGCAATCCCTTTCTACAAATCATAGTAATCAACGTGACTATAATGTACATCTTTCCCAGCAAGTGAATGTAAATATAATAACTCACCAATATTGTCCTTTTCTTTGCAAGAAATAGAATAGCAGCAGATTTCCCGGTCTTGTATGGCTGAAAGGTTCCTGTAAAATTTTATTGATCAATATCCATAAGGTTATATAAAATGTTTATTTTTTTTCTTTGTTTAATACTTTTTATTGCTAATTTCAAATGTGTAGGTGTACAGAATACAGTACAGCATAATAATGACATTTTAAAAATTTAAATTTTGTGGTCAAAGTATTATCATGAGTACAGATCCAGATGTTTAGGGAGCTTAAATATTGTGGGTAGAGTGAGTAGGATAAAAATGGTAAACCGAATTGGGGAGGGAGAGATAAGGGAGTTTTGCTGAAGTGTCATGGCCAATTAATTAAGGTTGAATTCAGAACTCATAAGTCTGTTGGGTGACAGTCAAATGTCCCTGGCAGGAAGTGGGTGGCCCATGGGTCCAAAATTATCTGTGAGTTTCACTGTTGGTTTTGCATTTCAGAACGTCTAATGGACATGTCATTAACCTTGGCTAATGACAGAGAGTTGGACAGCCATGCTTTGGCTATAATTTGTTTCAAGGTTGTTAAAAGGAGAACTATGAGGTGAGTGATTTCCACTCATAGTTAGAGCCGACCTGTGACAAAGAAGCTGTCACAGGTCGGCTCTGTTGATCGCGAAGTGAGCAGAAACATGCAGCCGATCCGGTCACTTCCCGATCCTCTCCCTGCCAGTCACCGCTCCCCGCAGGGATTCCCCCCTCCCCTCTCCGATCCTCCAGCGCTGAGTGGAGGAACGAACGGGGAGGGCACAGCTGACTCTGGCTCTAGATAGGCAGAGCCAGTTGTCACTCACGCAGCTGGGAGGATCACGACAGTATTGTCTATGATTAAGCCCAAGTGGTGAAACACGTAAGAGGCACTGGTGTGGGAGAGATACCATGGTGATGTGTTTGCTGTAATATGTTTGATTTTGGCTTTTTATCTGTAAATTATTACAATAAAGCTGGACTTTTATGGATACCGGTCTTTGTGCGGCTGATTGTACAAAGAACTAGTACACTATAACGGCTACACAAGCTATATAAGAAGAGGCTAGCGAAAAGGCCAGGAGATGTGTGAACATGTAAATGCCACGCTGGAAATCGTAAAACAACTACGTATGTGCAATTGGAGAGGAAATCAAAGATAACCTCGAGTGGCATTACTGCTATGCAGCCTTCCAGAGTCATACAATGCTCTTATTAATGCTCTAGAAACCAGACCTGAGCAGTAACTAACACTAGAATACGCCAAAAAAAATGAATCAATGAATATGACAGAAGGAAAGAAATTATGCACAATGAAGAAAACGAGAAAGCCCTTAAGGTGCATGAGAGTGCAAGCAAAACAAAGAAAGCAAAGCGTGCTTTCGCTGTAAAAAGACTAATTACCTGAAAAAGGACTGTTTAATTTGGAAAGCTGAGCAGCGAAAGCGAGAGGCACCCACAAGAGAAAAAGCTAAGGCAGCTACAAAGGAAACTGCAGGCACATCAGGGAGCGCTACCTTTAAAGTAACTTAGAACAGTACACCACATGAATGCTGTATTGACTCAGACGCAACAAGCCACATGACTAGTGATGAGACCTTTTTCACTGAAATTGATTTCAGTGCAAATGACAACGTTTTTGTAGCAAACGGGAAAAGTACTACTGAGGAAGGTAACGGTCAAGAATTCTTGAACTACATCACACCATCATGGAACAAGTATTCTCTGAAAAATATACTGTATGTTCCAGAGCTAGAAGGAAGCCTTCCATCAGTGAAAACCCTTGCTAATAATGGTCTCACAGTTCAATTTCGAGGTAATGAATGTACAATCTGAAATAATAAGCAAATCCTCGCAAAAGGAAAATTGGATGAACACATGTACAGACAAACAAGTCAAGACAGCCACTCATAATCTACACAACAATGGTATCCATCTATGGCACAGACTAGGCCACCAAAACCCATAAGCCATAAAGGATATCATAAAGAGAGGCTTATCAGAAGATATAACTGTACTGTCCTGCCGAATGCTCATGCCATGCAAATGCTGTAATGCCCACATACCCCCCTTCCACCCAAGGAATTACCATCCACCCACCCCATGGAGCTCATACACAGCGACGTGCATGAACCAATAAAGACTCCCACATCAGGCGGGAACAGATATCTACTGACTTTCATTGATGAGTTTTTCAGCACAAGAATGAAACATCAGAAAAACTTCAAGAGTTTGTAACCATGTCCAGCAACAAATTCCAACAGAAACCAGGAATCATATGCACCGATAACGGAGAGGAATATATCAGTAAGGAAGTAGAATCATATCTGAAGAAACAAGGTATAGTACACCAGACAACTACACCATACACTCCTGAACAAAATGGTGTAGCAGAACGGAAAAAACGCACTCTCATAGAAATGGCCAGATGTATGCTGTCATACACTAACCTACATAAGTACTGGGGAGAAGCAGTCATGACTGCAAGCAGGGGTATGGAAATGTAAAAAAAAAACTATTTATCCAAAGGCTAAAGCGGGGGCCCAATCTACTTGTCCGTTATGACAATCTACTTGTTGTGATACAAAAATAATCTTAACCAAAACCGTATTTAACAGTGCTATGTTGCAAGCGAAATTCCGAATACATGGCACAGGGCTGCACTGGAAGGCAGTTCGGGGTACAGATAGTACACCCGTACCTTTGGAGGGGAAGGACTGTTCACCGAAAGGTATGTATAGCAGTGGGGCGAAGAGGGGGCAATATTTGAGTGGGTAATTCCATTTTCCCAAATTACTTGGAACAATGAACTTACCCTGAAATGCATTGTGTTAGAGAGCGCTGCTGCTACCACAATATGGCACACAGTGGAATGGGGGCAGAACTCAGCGTACACACACAATGTGTTTATTCGCATGCGGATGGTGGGGGCAGTGGGTTTGGTTTTAATTTTATTAATTTTTATTTACGTTTTTTATTTTTATTAATTTACTTTTTTAATTATTATGTTATTATGTTTTGCTTTTTCATTTTTACTTATTTTAATATTTTTAGCTTTTATCGCTTTTTATTTACTTAACTTTATTGCTATCACACAGGAGATAACAAGCCCCTGTGTGATAGCATTCCGAGGTGACAAATTCTCTTTTTGGAACCGATCACTGCCAATACATGTCCCGGGCCTCGGGCGATAGGAATTTCCCACCCCTGTTGCAACATACCTACAGAACAGACCATCAAAAGCTGTTAAAAGCACCCACTTTCAAATGTGGCATGGATCGTAGCCTATCCTAGGGCACATTAGAGTATTTGGATGTAAAGCTTATGCCTATATTCTAAAGGAGATGCGATCCAAATTGGAGAACACAGCCACTGAAGGTATTCTGTTGGGCTATAGTAAACAAAGTAAGGGATATAGAATCTTCCACCCAAAGACTGACAAAGTGACAGTAAGTCACAGCGTTTATAGAACAAGCTATTATCGACATGCAATATAGCTCATCAGAAGAAATGAATGCGGATGCCCTCGCAAAGCCATTGCCAAGAGATCATTATTTATACAAAGGCAGAATAGGTATGTCTTATGTAGTCAGCTGCAAGGAGGAGATCTTGTCTGTCACCTTTCAATTACTTTTTGGTTCACTGAAGTCTACAAGGTATGCCTATAGAAGATTAAATTAGCATTTAAAGCATTCTAGTGGTGGGTGATGGTTGCATAAATCGAGCATTATCCTGGAAATTTTACTCTAGGAGGCTCAAGGCTAGTTTGGGGCTCAAGGCAAGATGAATGCAGTATCACTGAAAAAATAGTAAAACAGAGCGCCACCACCATGTGTAAAATCTTGTGTAAAATGGATGTATATATTTTATAAAAAGGGTATATGTGCTCACAAACTTATAATTTCATCACGCTTGTCAAAAACCACAGTGTTGGTTACAAAGGAATAATCCAATCCCGACAGAACCACAGCTTGCCATCTCAGAGAGCAGGGTTTAAGATTAAGAACTGGCCAATCAGAGGATTGACCATATGTTTCAAGAAAAGGGTCTAGTGAATACATTGAACAGATCAGGTATTCTAGTCCATAGGCTCTTTAAAGGAGATAGCATCCTCCACTGGAATGGTAGAAGCCCTGTTAAGGCGAGAGACAGGAGAATCTACTGCAGTTGGACCAGACCACTCTTTAACAAAATCCTCCTCAAAGCGGTAAGGGAGAGAGAGAAGTGTTTGGGGGTTAGGGGGTGGGGATAAGAAACAATCTGAGTGACTTCCAGTCCTTGTAAATAACCTTAGTGGACCATTTGTCTTGTGAGAACCAAGGCCTCTCACCTTGTTAGAGGAAGGAATCCTTCAATTTAAGAGTATTACAAACTGCCTCAATTGGAAGGGGAACTGTTTCCTTCTGTTTCGCTACTAGGGCAAGTAAATGAAAAGCGCCCTGATTATGTTCCTCACTAAGAATGGGCAAATGATTTGGCCTCAAAGGCTTTCTCCACAAAGGTCTCTGCTTCTGATTGCTTAATGGTCAATATGTTCAAGTCTGATTCCACCAGAGAATGCGTAGTAGGATGTTTGTGACACATGCCGACAGATTGTGTCACAGGGTTTTCACATGAAGCCGTCCACAGCAGAGGAAAAGGCTTCTGATACAAGGAGGTTGGAATCGGGCACCCCCGCAGCCTTTGATAAAGGTGAAGAGGTGGGTAGCTCAGATGCAGGTACGCAGTTGTCACAACAAGCTCTCCCTGTCATAGTCAAAATTAACACTGTAGACAGAACATTCAGTAAGAAAACCAGCCCCCCTTCTTGTGAAACACATGTGAAAAATCAATAAAAGTAGAGTTTAAGGGACCACCCTAGTAATGCACTAGTAGTGCATGCGTGCCACTCCTGATTCCCTAGGGTACTCATAGAAGCCAGAGGAATTCTCCTGGAGGAGTGGAGAACCAGGCTCACAAGCTTACAGAGTGGCTGGGCAGTCAAGCTGTCGAACAACTGTGACTGCAGATGGTGGACTGCAATCCTGGAAGATGTACTGTGTCTTTGGTGAGATAAGAATCAGGTTGTGTTGGTCAGATGGAGGAGCAAGAAGTCCACACTGCAAAGAAAAGGTCTGTGTGTGTCACCACTTACACCCCCCAAGCCTATATGATATGCAGCTACTAGCTTTTGTCCCTGTCTGCTGGCCCACCCGCCACCTGTCAGGTCTGTAGCAAAGAGCCAAGGGAAGTGCTCTGAAACTCCTCCTCGAGTCACACAGGTCCTACAGGCAACGGGTGGGCGGGGACAGAAACTGGCAGCTGCACAATTCATATACATAAGAAAAAAAACTCAAAATGAGGATTGCCTCTGGCAAACGGGGACAGATGGCAAACTTACTCTTCAAACCTTTCTTACTTTTTAATGGGGCCTTGCTAGGTTATCTCCTTTAAAGATTACTGCAGCACACTTTTTTTTAGATTAACTCCACTTTTGTTGAGAAAAAAACAATCCCCTCTGGGTGATCAATGTACATGTCAAGGTTTTCAACAAACTTTGTTGCAGATTCCTACCTGTTTCTGTTCTGAATAAATAGCAGTTTGATCAGCATGTCCTTTGCAAACTGATTCCTAAATAGGAGGGACTGTGCTCAATATAATCAGCTGCTGGACTTGTGTGTCTTTTATTGAGGGACGTTGCTGTGTCGGCCTCCCTTTAGTAATTAACACTTAGGAAGTATCTAAAAAAAAAAAAAATTCCTCTTGCAAGGGGTGTCTAAACTTTTACTTGTATCTTAGTGCAAACTTCTTGGAAAACCAGCAGTTAATCACAGAAACAGGAAGTGACATTCCTGGGGGTGTTCTGTACACCAACTGTGTACAGAATGCCTCCAGGTAGCAATACTGCATTTAATTTTTTGACAGTTTTAGAAAATTACAGCAGCTGCAGTTTAAATGGAAAGGCAATTTTAATAACATTAAATTACAAAATAGCTTGTGCAGCAGTTATATATGGTAACTTTTTTTACATCCCCATGGCTAAAAAATTAGCAGCATACCTTTTAATTTTGTTTATTTCCTTTCCCCTTTATGTGTGAAACCTGTATTTTCAGCATAATCAATGTTCAGTGTATTTAATCTCTGACCTATGGGGTGTCTATGCTGTGGGTCTCTGTGGAGGCCAAACTTAGTCACCCTGACTAAGTTTTAGCTCCCAGACAGGTCTGTTTCATTACATGTGCAGTGCTCCAGTGCTATGCTCAGAAGACCCATGCACAATATGAACAGCACACACCTGTACTTAAAATGGTTCTTCTTAAAATGGAAATAAAAGTGTTTGTTGCAAAATGCAGGCAAACAAATATTTTACAACTAGTTATTTAGATTAATAATGGACACCTGCCATTATAGACATTTATGAGTTATTTTCATCAAATGCTGCCAGCTCTTCTGAGTCGAAAAGCAGGCTTTGCCTTTAATACCCCCTTTGAAAGAAATCATTTTTTTTGTGTTATTTTTAAATTCTAAACAAGGGAATTCTCTTTATTGTCCATTGAGGGACACACAATTGTAGAATAGTTTATATAGGGATGCACAGATACTTTTCGAGTACCAGTGCCGATACTTGGCATTTTCATGAGAACTACCAGGGTTGCAGTGGTTATAGCTGGGACCTGGCTCTGGCGCTCCACCACTGTCCTGAAATCATTAGTCTGTATTGTTTTAGAAAAACTGTCACATGACAATAAACAAAAATGTATCCGTACTTGTACTTGTAAGTACCAGTACTCGTACTCGCAAAACTGGTATCTTTGCATCCGTGTATTTATATTTATAAAAACAAAATCGTACATTAAAACAGAGATGTACAAATCCCAGGAGCTCCGTGTGCTCCTTACAAATGACAGCTGCCTCCTAACTTTAGAACTTTTCTCTAGTGTAGTTTTGGAGCTCAAAAGTATCGGTACATGTACTCATACTTGTACCGAGTACTGTACTTGGTATCTGTGCAACCCTAGTTTATGACATGTGAGTTATACTTCTGTCTTCAGGAGGTTTGGACAATGGCAAAACAAAAAACATTGTTAGCCCCCGTATCACCCCGCCACCAACCTTCATGCTTCAGTTTTTGCTAGTGTTCCAGGAAGTTGAAGCTCTGTTGTGGAAAGCCCCAATTTTTTATTTTTTTAACAGTTTTTTCTCTTTGGCTGATAATTTTTCTTCGGTAACAAGTCCTCAAATACACTACTTCAGCTGGTCTCTTTATCACAGCTATCCGGACAGGCGTATCCTCATGCTAATCAGGAAGCCAGGTGGCTAGTCATTACACGCTGCCTGGCTTCCTTAATAGGGCCTCCAGTATCGGTGAGTACCGGAAAAAAATATTGGTACTTGTACTCGATACCAAAATACCGGTATTGGTGCATCCCTAGTAACTAGTATAACAGTGGATCAGTCCATCCATGTTTATCTTTGCCACAACCATAGACTCTCTCACAAAGTAAGTCATCTGAGACTGGGTCAAGGCAGAGGCTGTGCCATGGCTCTGGACCTGGAAAGTGCTCTGCAGTTCACTAGCACAGTACACCAAGTTCTAAAAAGCACCAGTGGTAGAGCCCAGTGACCAAGTGTCACATTCTTGGCGAGCCCACAATCTTCAGTTCAGTGGAGTCCAGGTACAGCCCCCGAAGCTACTGCTGAGGATACGCCAGTCTGGATAGCTGCCTCCAACCTATTTTTCTTTATTATCCATTGAACGGCATAGGATTGTAGAATAGTCTATGACATGTGCGAAATCCAAAAGCAGTCCAACTGAGAGGTGGGCAAAGCCACTAGGAAAACCAACAGAGTGAAAAAATGTGCGCATCAACACCTGAATCGAAGTATGGAGGCGGCTTCCCGGGCCAATCAGGAAGCCGGGCGCTACGTCATTACACGGCGCCCGGCTTCCTGATTGGCCAGAAAGCCGGCTCCATGCTTTCTCGTCACCTAGTCACCTCTCAGTTGGACTGCTTTTGGATTTCCCACATGTCATAGACTATTTTTGGTAAGTACAAAAATCTTATTTTTATTGTTATGTATAGATAAGCTTTCAAAGTAAGAAGTATACCATTTTTGCTCACAACAGAAATATAAAGTGTGTGCACAAAGATGGTATCTATCCATACATCAGCAATCCCTTGTGCTCAGTAAGTGTAAGCTTGTTACAATACGGGTACAATCTATGGATAATCCCTTCAGAATTACCATTACCGTATAACATGAGGGCCTACTTATACAATCCATTAACCAGTTTTGCGGACGGCAAGAGGTTAAATTTGTATCTAATCAGGCTGGCCTATGCATTAAATATTTACTGGAAGATCTAGGGTAGGTCTTACTGTGGTTAGTGCCCAAAAGAAAAAAAAAAGACAGTCCCCGGCAGCCAAGAACCAAAGATGTTGAACTGTATTTTGCCGCAAACTCACCAGCTGATCACTAATAAAGTGTATAGTTAATTATAGCAGTTTTCTCTAAAGTTAAATACTCACATTTTTTCAATTAGTTCTTTTTCATCAAGAGCACCTGAAATATCTCTCTTGTTTCCAAGTACAAGAACCTGCAAAAAATGGAGAATATTAAGTGCCTTTAGGATCTATTCTCCTAAAGTAAAATTATATATTAACATGCTATAACCAGTGTCATTTCTGAAATAAAGATGTTGTCGTTCTTTATAAGCTTACATGCTAGATAATATAATGTATATGCATATTACAATCTCCACTACTCATCTTTGGACATGTGGCTTTTACCTACTCCAACTATTTCTTCACATTTACTGAGAGTAGCTAGTCAGGACAAATAGTAACTTAAATGAACAGGAAAAGTAAAGAATGCTCTTTCATAGTTTGTTAAAAATATTCTATTGGATTCAAAATAAATAGTGTTGAAAGAGCCAAACCGTTGAAAATATGTGCAAACCACAAATATAGTGCTCCAATTGCATTGAGGTCTGTAGGAGACAAATCCTGCATTTTTTTTTTCAAGCATTTTTTTTTAGTGGTCAATTTGCAAGTTTTTAGTAAAAAAAAAAAAAATGTTCCAATGTTAAAAATATCGTTCAGCAGGGAGCGGGTCTTGTAATGGCACTTTAAGGAATACATAAAAAATAGACAAGGGAGAATTTGTGAACATGTTTGCGACAAAAATTTTGTTGCAAAGACCAAAATGTCATGCTAACTAACCACAAAGTTTTATGTCTGTTTTGTGCCTTTTTCAAAGTGTTCGTTCGACATATTCATGCTTGTGACTCACTGCATGTTTTGCAAAATTTCGCATAATTTCTCAACTGCACAGTAATTGCATCCAGCAACATTCTAGAAGTCCTCCTGAGCACTTCTTAACCACTTGATGACCGGAGTGTTTACACCCCCTTCCTGTCCAGGCCATTTTTCAGTATTCAGTGCTGCAGTACTTTGACTGACATTTTATTCCGTCATGCAACGCTGTACTGAAATGAATTTTAGACCATTTTTTGGGGACAGATAGAGCTTTCTTTTGGTGGTATTTAATCACCACTGGGGTTTTAATTTTTTACTATATAAAGAAAACAGTACAAACATTTTGGGAAAAAAAACTGTTTTCCCTACTTTATGTTATAAAACATTTATTATTACCCAATTTTTTGGTAAAATATAAAAGACGGGGTCACGTCGGGTAAAAAGACACCAGACATGTCAAGCTTTTAAAATTATGCGTCCCAGCAAAATCGCAAAAAACTACCATACCCAAAATTGGCCACAGGCGACGCTTTAAAAGCTTTTACTGCTCAACAGTTTAGTGTTAACAGTGATTGATGGCCCTAAAATTATTGCTCACTCTCTGATGTTCGCGTGATATGTAACACACGTGCCGTAATGGGCGCAATCGTGGTTTTCGCACGTAGGCGCACCCAACGATGTTTGTGTGTGTATGTGGGGGCGGGGGACTTTAAAAGGATTCTTTTATAAGTGACTCATAATGTTTTTGGTTTTTTTGGAACTTTAATTTTTTTTAAACTTTTTTTCACTTAACTTTATTGCTATCACATAGGGGGCTTAGAATCCAGCTATGTGAAAGGGCAATTTACAGTGCCAGGTCCTCTTTATGGAGAAATCAGGGGTCTCTAATCAGGGGTCTCTAGGTGACCCCTAATGTCACCTAAGGACCCCCAGAGAAGCAGAGATCTGCTTCACCAGCTTCTCCCTGGCTTCTGTAGCCGGGAATGACAGCTGAATGCGGAAGTGATGTAATACACATCACTTCCAGCATTCGGAGACCGGCGGCGAGATCAGAGAGAGATCGTGTATTGATCGTCCTCTGATCTACATTCACAGAGCCACCAGGCCATCAGAGCTCAGGATCGGCGGTGGCAGGGGCCGCACGTACAATACAAGCGATCAGGCAACTCTACAGAGACCGGACCGCTTGTATGTAAACAGCTATCACTGGCTGTTTACATTTCAAGCAGCTTTCCCGCTCGTGCGCACTGCTCAGCGATGAATATCCTCATGGAGATGGAAATCAGATACTGCCTTAGGAAGAATGGAATGTCCAGGACGAAGTACTATCTCAACTTTATGAAAAATCAAAAAAGCAGGTTTACAACATAAGGCAGCTACTCTGAAACTGTCTGAGCCACCTTATGTGACAAATTTAATAAAGGGATATCACTAGGGATGCACGGATTTATCAGCCGCCGAAACATATTGGCCGAAAATGGCACTTTTGGCTAAATGCCGAAAGTGCTATTTTTTGAAGAGCATAAATTAATTGAACCGCCGGTTCCACATAGACGGGAGAAACATGATCACTCTCCAATCCCTGATGCAAAAGTTTTGACAAATCTGTAAATGTTATGGATACAAGGGCTGTGGCCAAAACAGGATGCAAGGCTGATCCAGCAATGATGTACATAGATCTCACTACTGATTCCGCTTTCCTGTCTGTTGGACAGAAAAGAAGACGATTCCTTGACCGGAATCACAGTAGTCTTATTCAGCATAGACACTGGTTATTCTATAGGAGGAGACATCCATTTTTTTTCATTAAAGAAAATTCTTTATAAAAGGATAACGCAAAGTAAAGCGCTTTGAAGTACAAAAACCCCAGAAGGGCAGTTCCATTCTTTGTAAATAAAGTCTTAGTCAAATGTTTAGACTTATTTGTACCCAAAAGGAACAGGAGTTTCTGAAGCATCCGCAGAAACTTCAATATAAACAAACAAACAAACTCCATGCAGAGTTAGTGTCTTGGCTGGGTTTGGAATCAGGGATCCCTCTGCTGCAAGTTAGAAGTGCTAACCACTAGGATACCATGCTTGTCTTCTTAAGAGTCTCACAAACCAAATGAATAAGTGCAAAGACCACTACTTTCTCTTGTGGAAAAAGTAGATGGAAAGGTGTCATCATCACTAGCAGAGTGAGGTTGATCTGCCACCCCTATTTTCCCAAAATCCCATGGAAAAATCTCTTCATTTGCAGAGGAATCAGAGGATGATGGCAACGGTGGGGACTCTGTTTTTTAGTAAAAACTTGTTCCACATGCGAAACAAAAACTTCAGAAACAGAAGAGTTTCAATAGGAATAGAATAGATCTCAGGGTTTCAGAACCCCTAGGCAGAACCTGAGAGTGTAGCAGGGGTCTGAAAGGATTTACAGGTGGGAAAATTAGAGCCTGACCCAAGAGAGGGATAAACTTCCCCACATGTCGCACAGCTAACCTCAGTGCCCACTGCACCAGTAAAGCTCCCCTTAACTGCATCCGCCATGCCCCAGCTCCACAATCCTGAACCCATCAAGCCACCAGGGATGAAGGGGGTCCCAGCAGGCTTACCACCCTCAGAGAAACAAGTCTGTTTTTAAATTGCAGCCGCTACATCCTCCATGTTGATAGAAAAGCCCAGAAAGCAGTGCTGGCAATTTCACCTGCCACCTCAGAAGCAGGGATCCACACACAGCACATAGAGTGGCCACTGACAGTGTGAAGTTCTGCTTCTCCCATACACAGTGGCTGTTTTTGAGCACTACAGTCACTCTGTGTAAAATGTAAAAAAAAAATAAAGGTAATAACACAATTATTTTTTTAATCAATTTGTTTAACACTTATCTTTTTTGCTATCACATACGGGGCTGATGTCTACTCTCAAAAAATGAGAGTAGACACAGAAGGTTACAAGAGGAATTGGGACAGTAGGAAACAGACATAATAGATTGTGGTCCACTACACAGCCTGGGCTTGAAATCCAAGGGATCTTCTCTACTGCAGCCACAGGACACATAACTCCTCACATGTTCAGTGAGAAAATGCCTCCCGAGGCATGCGATGTGCAGCATCCTCTCTCTCTCTACCTGTGATCTTACTAGTTAGATGCAACCTCCTTATAGCCTATCTTGTTTCAACAAGAGAAAATCATCACCATTTTACATAAGGTTTAAAATACAAAACTGCACCAAAGTGGGTTTTTATAAGCAAAACTAAATACAGAATAATACATTTACTCACTGGAATGCCTTGCAGCTGCGCTTTGTCCAGTAAATTATGTAGTTCATTTTTCGATGCTTCAATTTTGTCTTGATCCGCAGCATCCACCATATAGCTGTGAAGTATTTATAAGTTTTAACTTTGATAGCCACTTCAAAACAGAACATTAATTTCACAAATTGTTAGGCAACAAAATACATGTTTCTAGTATGCTTGGATGAATATTAGAAATGTACAGGAATTATTTAGTAAAAGATACATCATTAAATACTTTGAATCTATTTTACGAACATGTTAGAGAAATCTTAAAATCATTCACTATATGATAATTTATAAGCAGAGCTGTTATGATAAATAGGCCCACACCTCCAAATGACTGAGAAAGGCTATAACAAATATATTTATGAAAGGGAGGAATTGTCAACTTCTGGGATGAGCGGACGCTGATGCCGTTTGAAAACTGTTTCATTTTAACATTCAATTTTAGAATGAATGTTGAGTCCCAAACTAAAACAACATTCATTGTTAGAATTTGACTTGTTCGAGGAGAATTTTCCATCCTGCTCCTTTGATTTTTTTTTTAGTTATCGTGGTCTAAAACAATCGTCAATTTGACCCCATTTTGATCCTTTTAGCTATCAGAAAATTGAAAAAATGTCCCAAGAACAAACTGGTGTATGGCCAGCTTTAGACTCCTTCCTCACCTGCACTGTAGTGAGCAAACAACAACTTTGAAATCCCTGCTGGCTGCCTTGACCTACCCCTAGGAACATTGCCATGAGCAAAACAAACATCGGTCAGCTTTGAAGCACCTCAAAGACATTCCATCCTTTGAGCTCCAAGGCAGCGTCTGGACCATGCCAAGCTCCAAACAAGATGAATGGTTTGGGATTGCTGATATAACCTCTTAAGAGGAGCTCACATTATGGCAAGTCTCTAACCAGGTATTCACAGCGATTACCCCTTGCAAATCTTCCCTGATGAGAAAGATAGATAAGGTGAGAATGGATGTGGGACTTTTTGGGTAAGATCTACAGGCCATTAGGGAAAGGGTTATGAAGGCGGAAGACCACATATCAGATATAGAGGACATCCTTAATCCGTTGCCTACATAGCTAATTGAAACTGACAAATACATAAAGGAACAATATAATATGAGAACAAAACACTTGACAACGATGTTTTATTTTTCCTTACCCAACCATTGGTCTAGCTTCCTAATTTACTTCAAGAACTACACACTTTTAGTGCTCTCTCCAATTTCCATATTAAACAACTCAAATCGGAAATTTTGTCACTGAACCTATCTCCAGTCATCATCTCCAACCTGCAGTCCTCATATATGTTTGAATGAGCATCGAGCCATTTGCGTTATTTGGGTATCCAGCTCCCAGGCTTCCCACGACGGGTGTTTGACCTCAATTATTTACCTTTACTGAAAGTGATCACTGATGATCTTTGTATAAAACATTTTACTTGGCTAGGCTGTATCAATATTTTATAAATGAATGTTTTATTCTTTTTACAGTCAATTCCGATTAAACTGTCGCCTTCATTCTTCCGCCAACTACGCAGTTTGTTTTTGGAATTTGTGTAGAACAATAGAAGACCTTGGCTTTCTGGGAGAGCCAGACGTCTTTCTTTACTATAAAGCTACTGCGTCGCAGCGGATTTTGGATTGGCACCATAATGTTCGGGATAAGCTGTTGGTTCCATAAGAAAGATTCATGGCTGATAGAAATGTAGCTTATGCCCATTGGCTGCCACCTAATTGTAGGGATTTGGTGGCTTCCACGTTCTTACCATAATACTTTGAAGGTGTGGGATACTGTTAATAAACACGGGGATCTTATTCTTAACATATCCCCCCTGACGTCAATTGGTGGTTTCCTTTGGTTTCTACTGGGTGAGCCACTGTCATATTTCCAGACTTGGGATGCAAAAGGGGATGTACGTTTATGTAAATTTATGTCAGGAATTCCCTCATTCAGTTGGAAGTACTGAGGGAACAATGGGATGCCTTCCCTTTTGACTCCTGGCAAACTTAGTTACTTCTTTCGACAACATGCTTCTTCTTAATTAGGCCTTCAAGACCGTTGACCCATTATAAACAATTGTGTGATTCGGGTTCACCTCCCAGACGCTCTCACTCCCTTTTCTACAAATTGTTGCTCCAATTGAGCTTGAAAGGCTCTTTATATTTCCTTAGGGAGTGGGAGCGTGATATTGGCCTGACCTTCACTGATGCAAAGGTAGAGCAGCTTCTTGCACCTACCCATACCTCATTCATATATTCCAGATCTCAGGAAACTAATTACAAGGTGCTCACTGGTTAGTACCAGATTCCACAATCCTTAGGTAGAATGTAACTACCTCTTTGTAGCTTCTCCTCTTTGTTGTAGGAACTGTGGTTTACTAGGTACAAATTTGCATATTTGGTGGGACTGCCCAAAGCTTAAACCTTTTTGGCAAGACATAAGAGAACAAATACAGCTTCTCCTTGACGTGACTCTACCGTTTTCCCCCTCAACATTTTTGCTTCACTCGGTGCCTTTCTCTACAGCCAAATACAAAGCCACATCCTTGCCTCTTCTTCTTAAAGGTGCCAATACACCTTGCGATTTTCGTTCGATTTCCGAACTAAATCGGTTTTTCGTGCGATAATCGGGCAGTTGATGGGAAGTCAACATTCACAATTATTGTACAACTGGCCAAATTTCGTCTATCGGGCAGACTAGAAAACTTTTTTCGAATTGTACAAAAACCGATGGATTAGTACGAAAAAAATTGCAACATGAACACTGCACAAGCACAGACAAAAATCTGTGCTGTCGATCGCCAAAATTCGGTCAGTTAGTATTTCTAATGAACGATAATTGAAATCCACATGGGTCTGTGCATTATGGGGCAGTCATGCGGAAATCGAACGACGGTTCAATGACCGGACGTAAATGATCGTACGGTAATTGTAAGGTGTATGGCCTCCTTAACGCTGCAAAATGGTTAATACGCAGACTTTGGAGAAGCCCTGGGGTCCCTTCCAGGGTGGAATAGATCCGACAGGTTAATGTTATTATGGACTCTGAGGAATAGATTGCAATAAATATGACATGTTTTATGGCATTTGGTCAACATGGATCCAGTACTGCTCTCCTAATTCTCAGGGCGAAATATTAATTTTATGCGTTGGGTTTAGAAACGCTTTGAAGCGACTTGGTTCTTATTTTTAAAAGATGAAAAAAGTGCATTCCAAAAGTCAACAATACTTACTTACACTTGACCTGCTGTGTTGAAGAGAAACCTGCTTAAAAATCTTTAGTATACAGCACACTTCTGGCTGCATCCGATGCCTGGTCTCCCGCTGTTTGTTGTGGTATCTTCCAGTGGCTCCTATGTCGCTGCTGTCTCTGGTAGTGATGCAGGGGGTCATCGGCGAAAAACAACCGGGGATGCTAGCTTTGAACATGCTTCTCATACACAATACCGAGCATTTTGGTGGCATTAGAACAGGTAAGTATGAATTGCTTGCTTTGGGGGAAGCATTTTATTGCATCTTATAAAAATAGCAAAAGTCACTTTAAATTCAAGAGCAAAGAATAAACACTGTAAGTCAATAGTTCTGCTGCAACGATTTATGCAGAAACACCACTTTGAATGCACTGTTTTTAAAATGTTGCAGCTTTTCTCTCAAATGGACACAATTAATATAATTCACCAGAACTTTATAAAATGCAAATCAATATTTTTTTCTATAAATATAATGCTAATGCTAATATAATATGCTATTGTTTGCCAGCTATACTTGCTTATCAATCTTTGCAGGCAACAAAAATATACAAAGTAGCTTTTTTTCCCAAAAGAAAGAAAGGGCATAAGAAGTAGTGTAGACGTAGATGGTTACTCACACAATAGCACTCACTCCCCGACAATATCTCTCCCACATACTTCGAAAGCGCGGTTGTCCCCCAATGTCCCAGAGCTAAAAATAAAAATAAAAACAGAACCATTGTGAAATGCATGCCCTTTCCTTGAAAAGATAATACATATAATTTTAGTTTTTTTAAATTAACTTTGGCCTTTACCCCTTTCACTAAAAATCACATCAGCATGCAGCTGTGCATGCTGATATGAACTCATCTTAATTTAATTTGTTAAACAAACATATTTTGCTTTTACTTACAATTACTGTTTTTCCACTTCCTGGTCCTCTTGGGCATTAGTGATGTGATCTGTGCCCAAGAGACCCTGGGAAGGCTACATCAGCAGTGCATTGCTGGGACATCTCATCTGTAATGTCATGAGATCTCAAATAAAATAGGATTTTTTTAACTCACCTTAAAATCCTTTTCTCTGAGTTCATGGAAGTACACAGCCGAATCTTCATTTTTTGGAAGGGTTGTATGCCACTTGCAGGAGTAGGACGCTAGGCAGATAAAAAAAACAACAAAGCACAGCCCTGGGGCGGTCCCTGCTGGTGGCTCAACTCCCCACTTTTTAGAGATAGCTGAGTTATTAACAAAGCAACAGAGACAAATAAAGGGCACAGACAAGTCCAGGGGGGAGGGCGCTGTGTTCTTCAATGAACTCAGAAAAAAGGATTTTATAGTGAGTTAAAAAAACGTATTTTCCTTGAGATCGCGTGAGATTACAGATGAGACGTCCCAGCAATTGAAGGACACAGCTAGGGCTGCAACAACTAATCAATTACATTGATTATAATCAATAATGAGAATCATTGTCATCATCGATGAGTTAGTTAGACTAGTTGAATCCGCAGCCGCTGCCACTCTGCTCCTCCGTTCTCCTCCCCACTGGTGCCGGCTGCAGCAATCTGTGTCCCTTTCAATCCCCGCTGCTCTCTCCGCCTGTATCGGCAGAGGCAGCAAGGACACAGACCACTGCAGCCGGCACCAGCGGGGAGGAGGGACCGCTGTGACTGCCATTCCTCCGGTGCTCCCCCCGAGCCAGCCTGCCTCTCAATGTTGCAAGGTAACGTGAAGCCGGTATTCTTTCGATAGAACACCGGCTTCCTGATAATCCGTGCCCACGGTACCTCAGGATGCCGGTATCGGTAATCGGTATCAGTGTGTATGGGGGACAAAATATTGATACTCGTACTTGATACCGAAAAACCGGTATCTGTGCATCCCTAATCTCAAATAACAGCATACAACAAGTACTGAACTAATAGCCCCAGTGTTCCAATAGCAGCAATTTGTTCCAATTGAGAACTGCAAGTACCAGCAGTACTGATGATTGATCAAAAAGCAGCATATACAGAACTATAAAGTCTCAGGAACCAACTATGGCCAAAGTAAAAGCAGAACAGGCACCCCAGGATTAGCACAGGTCCGTCCTCTGCTTTCAGACCTTCCAGACTGTCATGGGTGCCATCCCCTGCATAGTTGTCCCTTTAAAGAGGAACTTTACCCATCTTTGAAATAACAACAAAGCCACCTTTAGAAATGTTTATTAATGACAATCTACACACACAAATTTCTAGATAATTGTTGGCTTTTTATTTTTTTGCATATCTTTTTTTTCCCCCAGTCTTCTGACAGTGGCCATTTTAACTAAGGGCAGGTTACTATATCTCTCTTTACTTCCTGGAACTCTGGCACATGCAGGCTTATTTTTCCAGAAGATGTAGAGAGATGTCCACCTCAACAGCCTTAGTTTGTTGAAGAAATAATGCTAGGAGAAAGAAATTATGCTGACTGCGTTTCGAATGTATGCATAAGCTGATGTCCTAACAGAATACATTTTTAGTAAAAAAAACATTAGACATTTAGGCTACATTCACAAGCTGAACCTACAGATTCTTGCAGCAGGAATCCGAGGTGTGTCTGAAAAAACGTGGGGTCCCCCCCAAAATTCCCAACCAGACCCTTAATCCGGGCACCGGCCTGAAAGGGTAGGAAAGGCAGGGGATGAGTGAGCGCCCCCCCCCCAATCCCTGCGCCATACCAGGCCACATGTCCTTGGCATTGGGAGTGTGCTTTTCCCAGGGGGAAACCCCAGGAAAAGCACCTTGTCCCCATTCTGATGAACCGCTCCCGGCGAACTCTTGCTGCAGAATGAGCACTTTGCCAGCTCCTAGTGACGTCACCACTCGCTCTGCCCATTTGTTTCATGCCATACAGTGAACTCTCAGTGAACTATCATGGCATGAAAACAAATAACCAATAAGAAAGGGGGTACACAGATGCAGATGAGCACCCCTGCACACAGAACCCCACAACCCAGGGCAAGGTTTGTGGGGAAGAGGCCCTTGTCCCCATCGGGCATGTCCCCCTGAAAAAGCACCCCCCCCCAATGCCGAGGGCATGTGGCCTGGTATGGCATGGAGGGGGGCGCTCGCTCGCCCCCCCCCTCTCCTGCCCTGCCAGTGCCCAGATTAAGAGTCTGATTAGGAATTTTACGGGGGACCCCACGGTTTCCCCACCCCAATTTTTGGGCATTGGGATTCCCCCTTAAAATTCCTACCAGACCTAAAGGGTCTAGTATGACTTTTGAGGGGAACACCACAATTCATTTTTTTTTAACTCGGGGGTTCCTCCTAACATTCCTACCAGAACTAAAGGGTCTGGTTTGGAAGGGGGGCCCCACGCAGTTTTTTTAAATATTTATTTTACATTTTGTGGGGAGAACAGTCCACTTCGGCAGACCGTTCTCCCTGCTTTGGCTGTGTCTTCAGCTCAGCCGAGCCGAATGCATATGCTTTGGCCCCGCTGACTGCTTCGGCTACCGTATGGGCTATTGTGAATAGCCCGTACAGCAGCCCTTCAGTTCGGCTGAACCAAAGGCTTCCTGCAGCCCAAGTGAGCCGAACGCTCGGCTTAATCCTTCGGCAGCTTAGTGAATAACCCCCATAATATTACTATTGTATAGTATATAATATATAAATATACAGTACTATGCAAAAGTTTTAGGCAGGTGTGCAAAAATGCTGTAAAGTTATAATGCTTTCAGAAATAAAAGTGTTAACAGTTTATTTCCAAATATTTCACATTTCGATTTATCAGTCCAGAGCACATGCTGCCATTTTTCTGCGGCCTTGTGGCCAAAAAGTCATACCTCCGACCTGACAACAAACAAGGCAAAGCGACTCAACTATGCACTAAAACAAAGAAACTGGGGTGCAGAAAAATGGCAGCAGGTGCTATGGAGAGATGAGTCAAAATTTTAAATATTTGGTTGCAGCAGGAGGCAGTTTGTTCGCAGAAGGGCTGGAGAGCGGTACAATAATGAGTGTCTGCAGCAACATTGAAATTTCCTCACAGTGTCATGTGAATATATTACATTGTCTCCGTTGGAGCCTCTGCAGAGTTTGCATTTCCTAGGCTGCACATTTTATTTTTTAATGAACAATGTTTTTATTCTGCAGCCTTGACTTCTAGTTTAATGTGAACCTGATTGTCAGGGTTTCTTACCCTTCCTTGTCCAGCTGCTTGCAGCATGGCTTGAGTAGTGTTTCTGGCACCGTTGTTCCTCTTTGGTGCCCACTTATGCTGAAACCAGTTAACATCATCTTTCTGCAACTTCTGAAAAAACTCTTGACAAATTCTTTTCTCAGAGTGGTGATCCAAACACCAGCTCACTATTTAACCTTCAGCTTCTCCATTCAGTCTTCACCCTTGCATTTGTTCTGATCAACCAAGTGCACTTCTATTGTTCCTGTTCTCCGTGTATGACCCCGGCTCTGGCTGACTAATCTGGTTCCTAACTCCGGCTTTGTTTCAGTTCATCCTGTTCTCAGTGTTCTCTGATCTGGTTTGGCTGACTACCCGCTGTGTCCTTCGACCTCTGGCTTGATACTGACGACACCCTGGACTTCCTCCATTGTTTTTGCATTTATGTTTATTGTTGTTTTCAATAAACTCCTTTTATTTTTAAACCTGCACTATAAGTTTCTGTCTGGTTTCTTGGTTCCCTGACACTGATAAAGCTCTGGATAAAAACACGGCACCATATTTGTTGAGTTCTTTTTGGCAGTTTCTAGATTTTTCTCTGGCTTTGCTTCTTAGTGAGTCAGAATTCCTGACCTTCATGCTAGTTCCAAATCAGAGACTCACTAAGAATGACTACAAAGGAGATAGCAACTTTAAAAATACTTCGGACTCCGACTGATATGGCACTGTCTTGGCCCCTTCCCCTGAAATTGCCCTCCGCTCTATCTATGCTGGTTCCAAAAAACACCAGAAAAGATCACTACTTCCATTTTCTCTGCTGCCCGTCAAGCAGTTTCTGCCTTTTGGAAGATGTCTGTATCACACTGGGTCAACGCCATGAATGATATGATGCGAATAGAGGAATTATTAGCCTTAGCTATTGACACCTATAAAGCTTATTATGATACTTGGACTGACTGGATACAATATTTAGCCGTGAGTCCCTTGGGCGTAGACTATGATTTGATGTTGGTCTCTGACCTGCCTTCCAAGCTTGAGGTTGTTTTTTTTGTAATGGTCTCTTGTATTGCACTGATCCCCCCACAGCACTTCTCCCTTCCTTTCGTCCTTCTCTACCCTTTCCTTTACCACTTCCCGATCACTGCTAGAATTTTTTCTTTCATATTTTCTCTTTACATTTTCTTTACTTAACACAATTTAGAGCCAAGCTTGGGATAAGCTATGGAGTGTACAATTATTGGCCTCACCGAATTACAATGATCGCCGTAAATTCTGAGACTTTTATTGCTTTGGATGATTAATGCTATTACCACAACCATTTTGTTAATTATCCTGTTAATGCAGCTTGAGTCCTGGTCTTACTCCGGCTTTCAAAGTCTCTTAAAGTGACTCTAAACTCAGCATTTAAGTACCTTACCTATTTACAATAATGTATATTATTGTGTATCACTCGGCTGTAGATCCTCAAATTATCACTGAATGCATGCTGACACTGTCCTTCCTTCTGGAGGGTGGCTACTTTTGTTCCACATGGTCCCTGTGTGTGTTGGAAAGTAGCCACCTCTCCACGTTTGCTCATGTGATGGACTACAATCTTACGTTTAGTTTACAAATTTGTATCGAGATTGTAGTCCATCACAGGAGTGAGCTTGGAGCAGTAGCTGCTTTACAACACACACAGGGACATGGAGAAGAAAAGTAGCCACCCTCCAGAAGGAAGGACAGTGTCAGCACCAATTCAGAGATGATTTGAGGATCTACAGCTGAGTGATACTCAATAAGGTAAAATTTTGTTAAAAGTTAAGGTACTTTGTTCCACATACTTTTCGTTAAACACAGATTTAACCATAGAAATACATCAAAAGTTAAAACAGTCATATATCTATCGAGGCAAGTTCACTTTAAACCTAAAGACTTAAACAATGTTTTATCAAACAGTACAGCATGGTTAGAGGACAGCTGACATGACAGATTTTACCTTGATAGTTACATTTCCTTTTGTGATTTTCCGCATGTTAAAGCCAACAGTTGGAATCATATCTTCATTAAAATGTCCGGACTGAAAGAATATAAATGAAAAAGTAAACTTTAAAAAATATAGAAACTGTGTCAATACATTCACTGTCGCACTATTTTAAGCTTACAATCTTTTAGAAATGTGGTGCATGACACCATGTAGAATGGACTCTATGGCTGTGATTTGAGGAGCAGTTGTCACTTATGATTAAATTCTCATTTATTTGGCAAAATTCTCATTTATTTGGCAGAACCTGGGGAATCCATTGAGATATTATTAGGCACAGTCATAAAATTTAGAGACTTCAGTGGCTTTAGAGAAATTCTCTTAAGGCCACTGAATTCCACTGAAGGCAAGCAGGGCTAAATGTAGAGCAGGGGAGCAGCTGCTCGTTTTGAACCAGAAATCTGAGTGGCCCCCTCTTTAGCCCTTTGACAGTAGTTTAAAAAAAAAAATCCACACCCCTGCAATAGAAGGACACCTGAGGGAGGCATTAGGCTCTACAAGCCTTGTCGCCTTGGTCCATGTCTACCTTGTGGACCCTGCCAAGCTTGGACCAGACCAAATGGGAGTACTTTGGCAATGCTTAAGACTAACTTCTGTTGTGCTCTCAATGGAGGCACCTACTGGAATTGTAAAGCATGTCAAGGGTGTGATTAACCCCTTCAGGAACCATGACAGTATAATCCCGTCATGAAGTAATAATGCAAATGTGTTCTATTTCTTGGGCTGCAGGCTGACTACATGTGCCTTCTTAATGGCTCATGTATACCACCACCTAGATGTTGCAGTTCTTCATCCCTTACCAGGTGACCCTTTAACTGTGAGGTCCAGTGGATAAAGTAAATATACTCTGTCTGCAGGAACACCAACTTTTCTGTTTCGGCCTGACATTTTTTTTCATTTCGGTTTCGTTTTTGAAATTTTAATTTCGGTGCACCTCTACATAAAATATATTACGCAGGATCTGTGAATGGAGAAACTTTAGGTCCCATCTGCCACTGCGGTAGTGGGACTGGTGGTTCTCAATGAAATACAAGGCTGAGTGTGGCTGAGTGGCGATGCTGGCCCTATTTAACAAGCTCTTGTTATGAAATCACCTCAACTGTAGTCCATTCAATCTTCCTACTAATTTGTATTATTGAGTGTCTGTACCTCAGTACAGACTTGGAGTGGAGGGAGAATCTGCAAGAGCCAGAGCATTGCACCCACGATCCAATGATCATGGTTGTAATGCTTTACTAGCTCCAATTCAAAACAAAATTCAATAAAATGCACATTTTTGCTTTTACGAATATGTGTGCATTCATTATTTTCTAGAAGGTGGACTATACCTTCAACTGAGCTGGCTAGAACTAGTTCCTGAGGTAGCCTATTCCACATTTTCATAGATGTTAGGCTACATTCACACAGGGCTTAAAGTGACACTAAACTCAGGAGTTAAATCTTAAAAATGCATTCAAGTACCTTATTGACAAATAAGGTATTAATTATTTATTATTATTTAGTATATATTATTACTATTGACAAACATGTATCTTATTTGTGCATCACTCGTCTGTAGATCCTCAAATCATCTCTGAATTGGTGGTGACACTGTCCTTCCTTCTGGAGGGTAGCTACTTTTGTTCCCCATGGTCTGTGTGTATGTGTTGTAGAGTAGCCACCGCTCCATGCCTGCTCCTGTGATGGACTACAATCTCAACGAGATTCGGTGATGGGCTAAAAACATGAGATTGTAGTCTATCACGGGAGAGCGAGATTGGAGCAGTGACTACTTTACAACACACACAGGGACAATGGGAAACAAAAGTAGTCACCCTCCAGAAGGAAGGACAGTGTAAGCATGAATTAAGAGATGATTTGAGGATCTATTGAGAGCTATTGATTCTTAACTGCATGTAATCATATGACACACGATTACATGCGGTGTGCCAATCATTAACTTCAATGGGTGACAACTGCCGGGTGTAAACAGCAGATTAGGGATTCCTGAAAACGCAAGTTACTGACAGGTGTAAATGGGGCCTAAGGCTGCAGCTGGGGATACCTACGGCAAGAACCTAAAGATTCTTGCAGCAGGAATCCCGGGTGTGTCCATACAGATGCGGTCGCTGTGCCTGTTGAAGTGAATGACAGGCTGACAGCGGCTGCATCTGTCAGTGGCTATCCACATCCAGACGCAGACAGGTTGCATCCAGGGACAATCACCTATTCCGACCCGCAGTTACTCGTTCCATGTACGACCATCAACCCCAGACCGCAAGTAAATGTTCCATGTACGACAGCCACTGATAGATATGGCTGCTGTTATTCACTTGAATGGGCTCAGTGGCAACATATGCACAGACACACCTGGGCTTTCGTAGAATCTTGCCACAGGAATCCAAGCCACAGCGTGTAAATGTAGCCCTACTTTGAATGACTAACCTCCTAGGTGTGACCGGGGGCTAAGACTTCAAAAACAGGATGTCTTGCTGCACTCCTAACCAGAGTAACCCCAAGCTGGGTGGGTGCTTGTAGTGACCACGGAAGGCACCGTGTGAATCACAGAATAAAGGAATAATGTCACCAGCACACCAGTTTTTGTTAGTCAATGATCCATTTTAATGGCACATTGCCATCCAATACAAGTTTATTGGATGGCAATGTGCCATTAAAATGGATCATTGACTAACAAAAACTGGTGTGCTGGTGACATTATTCCTTTATTCGGGGGCTAAGACTGACCCCTTATCCTTTGCAAAGTGTTTTAACTGAATGGCAAAGTGACTGACAAATGAAATCTTATTTTTGCTCACACGGTCCATTTCCCTATACCATGGCGCACTGCAAAATAAAAAAGCATCAGACTGATGACTGTGAGCAAGAGGATGACAGATCTTCCGTCAGTCAGTTTAGTAATAAAAGGCCCAGTGACTGTTCCCTCCTGGAGTCATATGAATAAGAGGCCTAGTCCTTTTCCTGCGGAAAAACAGCTGATGAAAATACTGAAATACAATTCTCAATGGAACATCTCTGACTATATAGATTTCCCTTCATACAGTGCAATCAAAATGCATAAACACATAGCAAGTGTTCTGTACACATTTATATTCCTAATACTTCTATATAAATCAAGGGGAAAAAAGGAAAGAGCAAATGACAATGTGCATTCAGCAGACTGCAAAAGCCTGATACTGTCATGAGGCCTTCCTCATCCCTTCATCTTACCGCAATCACGTTGACAAAGGTGGTCTTCCCAGAGTACTGCAGCCCCACCAGGGTGAGCTCCATCTCTTCCTTCCAAAAGAGGGCCTTGAACCAGTCCAAGAGCTTGTTAAATAGGGCCAGCATCGCCACTCAGTCACACACACAGCTAAAAGGCTAGGACAATGCAAAAGCCGACTACCGCCCTAGTCGGCTGGCAGCTGCTGGATTCTTATCTCAGCCCTCCCGAAGTTATGTCGATTAGGATGTATAGGAAGGTGTCTTTATTGGGGTCACAGTGACAGCCTGACTACACTGGCAGGAAGGCACTCTACAGCGATGCGGTGTGATTTAGAGCCGAGGATAATATTAATGGAATAGCTGACCCCCGCAGCTCATGTGTACAACTTGCTTCTGCTTTGCTGCAAGGATCTGCTCACATGCGGGCGGGGCCATGAGCGGTACCCATGTCTCTCTTCTCCTCCCCCCTCTCCTATCTGCTCATCGGAGACAAAAGGAGGAAAGGAAAAGAAGCCGTCATCCCAGTCCTTCCTTGCTGCCCTCTGTCTTGGAGGATCCTCTGCTAGACAGCACAGGCTTCGTTGTGTCCCAAGGGGCCTCTGCTGTGAGAACTGCGACCTATGCGTACACAATGTCCTGTCAAGTCATTGGTTATCAGCTATAAGGAACACAAGTAGACGTCTACATCAGTGTTTCTCAATCTTCTTTCAGTCACGGCACCCTTTAAAAGTGTGCAAAATCTCAAGGCACCCCTAGACTACAATATCATGAATTTTAAGGGGGGACCCCATTTAAAAACACAAAAAAGTGAGGTTCTCCCTTCAAATCAGGAGCACTCCTTCAGATCAGAGTACATCAGGAATTACTTTTACACTGGAATTCCCCTTCACATCAGAGCCCCCCCCCCCTTTACATCAGAGTATCCCTTTACATCAGGAGCCCCCTTTTACATTAGAATTCCCCTTCACATCAGAGCCCCCCTTTTACATCAGAGTATCCCTTTACATAAGGAGCCCCCATTTTACTTCAGAATTTCCCTTCATATCAGAGCCCCTCCTTTTACATCAGAGTATCCCTTTAGATCAGGAGCCCCCGTTTACTTCAGAATTTCCCTTCATATCAGAGCCCCCCCTTTTACATCAGAGTATCCCTTTAGATCAGGAGCCCCTTTTACATTAGAATTCCCCTTCACATCAGAGCCCCCCTTTTACATCAGAGTATACATTTACATCAGGAGCCCCCTTTTACTTTAGAATTCCCCTTCACATCAGAGCCCCCCCCCCCTTTTACATCAGAGTATCCCTTTACATCAGGAGCCCCCTTTTACATTAGAATTCCCCTTCACATCAGAGCCCCCCTTTTACATCAGAGTATCCCTTTACATCAGGAGCCCCCTTTTACTTTAGAATTCCCCTTCATATCAGAGCATCCCCCTTTTACATCAGAGTATCCCCTTACATTGGGAGCCCCTTTTACATTAGAATTCCCCTTCATATCAGAGCCCCCCTTTTTACATCAGAGTATCCCTTGACATCAGAGCCCCCCCTTTTACATTTTACCTTTTACAACTTCAATCTGATATACAGAAGCAAACATAAATTAGGGGACATGCATTTCTTGAAAAGTTTTTTCAAACTAGCAAACAAACATGAGAACACAGTTTCCTCTAATGGTTAACTGCATATTACAACTGGTAAGTCCAGAGCATATTATGATGTATTGTATACACAATACTACCATTTGGAGAGGTATGTTTTCTCTAAAACTTTCAAAGAGTTAGCAAAGACCTCATCAAAGTAGCGGTCTTACGAATTTTTTCAAGAACATCTGGGAATTGAAGTTCCAAAAGATCTCTTTCAACTGACATTATCATAAGTGCATTAAGAAGTTCTTACCCCATGGTGGCTCTCAGGCGAGTCTTTATAAGTTTTAGCTTACTAATTGCCCTTTCACATGCCACTTGAGTAAATGTTAGCGCTAGCAGGTTTTTATACACAACAGAGAGATTTCATAAGCAGATGAGAAAAGATTATATTTAAAAAAAAAATCTTTAACAGCAAAGAAAATATTTGTTACACGAGTTGCATTATGTTTCTTGTTCCACACCATCATCTTTATAGCTGCCCCAGTCATCATCATTAGCATCAGCATTAACCTCCTTGGCGGTATTGCCGAGTGTGGCTCGGGGGTTAATCTTCGGTACCATAAGCGGTAACCCCGAGCCACACTCGGGAAAACAGTCTCTTACCTTGTCCCTCGAGCCGCGCTGTGTCCTCCGGCCGATGCCGCCATCCGTCCCTTGCGAGCGTCCGCGTCACAGGGGGGCGGAACTGACAGGAGATTCAAAAGTTTAAAAAAAAAATAGAACGAAAAAAGGAAAATCATACAGCCAGGGAGGTTAACAGGATTATTATCCAGATCATCATCATCTTCTTCTTGCTCAGAACTAATAGGAACTATGTCTACCTTCCCGCTCTCATCTTCTGTAAGATGTGGAAACAAGTTGGCAAAACTCTGTAGCTCAGTTTTCAGACATGATTCATCCACTTTTGCCAAGTGAGAAATGATTTCTAGTGCTCCTGTCTCTAACACATTTGGATCTTTTCTGATTGTGTCAAAGGAACGAGGATCCAAGAATTTGAAGCCAAGAATTAATTGTTTGTTTTCAGAAAATTGTTCAGCCAGACATTCTATGATCTCGTCCAAAATTGGTCTGAAAACATCAACTCGAAAACGTTGGGTTTCACTGATAGGCCTTTCATCAATTGAGGATTCTCCAGGCATACACTTTTTTCACACAATTCTCCTCTCTTGGAGCTCTGACTCAACTTCCAGTGAATCAAGTCCCTCTCTTTCTACTATTAGGTAATTTATTGTTTTGCAAAGTGCTTTACTTTCTCTTCTATAAAAGAAAACCCATTTTTTTTAGTTGGTCAACTGTACTTTCCACCATTTTCCATGCAACCATATAGTCAACACCACTTGTTTGAAGATATCTTGAAACGGGGCCAATATCATCAAAAATAGACAAAAATAGGTGTGCCATTCAAATGGTCTTAAACAAACATGGGTTTTCTGACAGAGAAGTAGTCTCCGATGTAGTCTTTGAATCGGACTGTTTGAACTGTGAAACCAACACTAAAACTTCTGAAGTGTCCAAAAAGAGAGTGTTTTTCTCCAAATAGTCAGTGGAGGGCTTTATCTTTGGCCTACAATCTTGTCTCTCCAATGTTTTGCACCCTGAGCAGTTTCTCATGCCCACATCTCTTATCAAGTTGATCCTTCCAGATATTCATTCTCTTGTGAGAGTCCCCAATAAATGTTGCTAGGCAATGTAGGAGACCCAAAAATGTTTTTGCCTCTAAAACATCACAGCAATCAGAGATCCACAGGTTTAAAATGTGACTATAGCACCAAATGTAGACAGCATTAGGCATTAGGCCTTTGATGCCTTTAGTCATTAGGCCTTTGCAATCTGAGCACGCAACCCCACATAAGCACTTTTCATGTTTGCTGCTCCATCAACAGACTCTCCTGCAATTTTCTTTGTAATTCAGTCCAAGAACTTGAAAACTTGACATTAAAAGTTAATTGAATCCTCTTCCACATGTGTCTTTTACTGGTAAAACAGTGATGAGAAGTTCCTTAACAGATTCTTCTTTCACATATCTAATGACCACAGTAGCTTGGTCAACTACTCCAACATCTTACGTACCATCTACTTGGATGCTAAATCTCTTTTCACCAATTTCAGACACTATTGATGTCTTCATGGTCTGGACTATTGCCATAATAACTTTATTTTACTGTGTTATATGACAAAAATGTCACAAGTGATCCACGGGCAGCTGTCTGTTTTCCCAGGAATCTTCTCTGTTTTTTACTCTTTTCACTTTCAGAAATACATTTATGAATATGATTGTTATTTTTTGAAGTATCTCCTTTCTTTTTGAAGCATGTGCCTGGTTTATTAATGTATCAATGCTTCTGCTCTTTTTTATAGTAAAATTTGTGTTCACAGCTTCTCAGTGAGTTTTTGATGTCTCATGTTTGTTAGCAGTCTCATAGCAATGCCTAAAATGAGTACACCCACTAGTGAACGATAAAGTGGAATTGAAAATTGCAATGCAGATGCTGCAAAAAAAAAGCTTCAAGCTTCATATTGTTTACTCTGCAAGTAAGCCATGAGCGCCGAATAAGATCTTCTTCACAACATCTCCAAAACACTCCCCTTCCTAACCAATGTTACCGCTCACTTGTTAGCTCCCGTCTTGACTATTGCAACTCCCTCCTCATTGGCCTACCACTACACGGGCTATTTCCCCTTCAGTCTATCATAAATGCTGATGCTAGACTCATCCACCCAACCAACTTCTCAGTGTCTGCAACCCCCCTCTGCCAATCCCTCCACTGGCTTCCAATAACCCAAAGGATAAAATTCAAAATATTAACAACCACTTACAAAGCCATCCACAACTATGCCCCCGGCTATATCTCAAACCTTGTCTCAAAGTATCACCCTAACCGTCCCCTCCGCTCTTCCAAAGACCTCCTGCTTTCCAGCTCCCTCGTCAACCCCTCTCATGCTCACCTCCAGGACTTCTCTACAGTCTCTCCCATCGTGTGGAATTCTTTCCCCCATCCTGTCTGACTATCTCCCACTCTGACTGCCTTTAGGTGATCCCTTAAGACTCATCTCTTTAGGGAAGCCTATCCCACCTCAACCTAAACACTAAGGGCTTATTTACACCAAGCGCGTTCCAGGAGTAGAGCAGAGCAGTTACAGACCAGATCAAAACTGCGTCCAATGTATTCCAATGGTATTTTGGGCTCTAGTTCACACTGCAGCGTTTAATTCCAGAGCATGTAAAAAAACTGCAGCAAGCCTTATTTTACCTGCTGTGGAACACATCAAAAATGCATGCAAACGCCCTGAGAGTCCATTTTAAACAAAAAAAAAATCATTTTTTCGTCAAAAATGGCCCGGAATGCATCAAAAGCGCTGCAAAAAACGCGGTATAACACACTGCACTGCGTGTGCAGAAACCCACGCAGATATGGTCTGCATTTGGTGTGAACAAGCCCTCAACCATCACGTTGTCAAACAATTCATCCCCACACAGCTACCTCCTCATGTATCACTTCCCCCTACCTTTTAGATTGTAAGCTGCAGGGGCAGGGCCCTCCTTAACATCTTGTCTTGAATTGTATTGTGATTGTAATGTCTTCCTTATATTGTAAAGTGCTGTGCAAACTGTTGGCGCTTCATAAATCCTGTATAATAATAATAATAATGATCTCCATTTGGATTTCTATGGAAATAAAAATCAATGTCTTTAAAGGGAAGGCCTTCGCAATCTGTACTGCTTGATTGCACTGGATGCATTTCCACAAATGCAATTTTTTCTGCAATGGAACATGTAGAAGGAAGACTAAAGAGAGTTTTGGTGGTGTCAAACTGAATCAGAAGATACAGACTCTTCTTCTGTTCTGCCACTTTCTAAATCATGGAAGCTTGTAGCTTCAGAACCAGGAATGCGTGATTGTTCTAAAATAATAATTTTAGAGCTGCTTTCAGAGTCTAACTCCTTCTCGATTAAACTACTTGGACTTTGTGCTCTCAACTCCTCTTCAACTAGCACATCTTTCTGCATTGGAAGCCTAACTTGGTCTGTGCAAACCTCTGTTGGTCTTTCTTTAGGCACTGTTGCACCATGACCCTACAAAAACATATCATATCAAAATGTAAAAATTACACTCTAGAAAGGCAATCTACCAAAGCGAATGTTCATAGGAGCGTCAAAAAAGAGGAACTAATGGTACTAATGGTACAAAAGGATCTTGTATTCATTTTGTGTTTTTTTTAAAGGAGGTGTTTAAAATGTATTTTTTTAATATCTTAATGTTCTGATCCTAAACAGAGCATAATTTTTCCGCCAAATGAGGTGTGTCCCTATCTACCAACAGAGTTTGGGGTATTGTTCTTCTTAGCCAGTAAGCGTTAGCAGCAAGTGCAACTAATACTGAAGTATTAGTTTCAAATAAAATGTGCAGTTGCAATTATTTATATCTTGCCAACTGATTTCACAGCTCTGAATTTGAACAGCTTACCTTTATTTGTTTAGATATTTAAATGCTACCCTTTTTGATTAAACCTTTTTGAGCGTAGTCTCCCTTTAACACACACCACAGCATGCATACATGTAGAACTATTAAAAAAAACTTGTAACAAATGCAAACAAGAATTCATAGTTTATTTATATTTTATTATCAATGAAAACCACATGTGAACTAGACATGTAACCCCCCCCCAGAAAATGAGTCTAGTTTTGGATCAATTCTGATTTTTATTTTTCATTTTGGTTATTCGGGGCCGAAATTCCATTCAGCTTAATATTTGTTATTTGGATTAATTAGAATTTTTTGTTTTCGATCAATCTGATTTTTTTATTTTTGGTTCAGATCTATTCAGATTGTTTAATTCAAAATTAATTGAACATAGTTTTAGGGTTTTTTGGTAATTTTAGTACTGTACTGGTCACCATAGTCTATCTGTACTGGTCATCTTAGTCCGTACTTGTCATCTTAGTCCGTACTGGTCATCTTAGTCCGTACTTGTCATCTTAGTCCGTACTGGTCATCTTAGTCCGTACTGGTCATCTTAGTCCGTACTGGGCATCTTAATGTTTACCAGTCATTTTGCTTCCTACTAGTCATTTCAGCCCATCCATACTAGTCATTTATTTCAGTACTGGTCATCTTAGTCCATACTGGTGACAGCTAGTTACTAATATCACACAAAAAGGACAGCAAGTCACCAATATCACACATTAGTTTGGTGCTGGACGAAATTCAGATGAAATTCGGATCGATCCAAATTTTTGTTAAACAAAAATTCACATTTGTTTGAATTCGGATATGTTAGAATTCAGAAATTTGCATGCATTCCAATTTACTGAATTTCGTCCAAATTTCAATTTGTAACAAAACAAGCAAAATGTGTAATGTGAACAAATGAAACAGACATGAAACAATATGCCCACTCTGAAAAGTTACAATGAGCATGGCCAAGCTGTGCATTGAATTTTAGTATAAAGTAAAAAAACAACAACAAAAAAAGTGTGTAGGGTTCCCCCTTAAAGTCATAGCAGGCCCTTAAGGTCTGGTAGAAATTTTTAAAGAGGAACCACACCCCCAAAAATGGAGGGAAAAAGACGTGGTGTCCCCCCTAAAGTTCCATACCAGACCCTTGATCTGAGCACAGGCCTGGCAGGGCAGGAAAGTGGGGGAATGAGCGAGTGCCCTCCCTGCGATACCAGGCCACATGCCCTTGGCACTGGGAGGGTGCTTTTCCAGGGTTGCCCCTGGAAAAGCACCTTGTCCCCATGCTGATGGGGACAAGGGCCTCTTCCCCACAAGCCCTGGGGCGTTGGTTGTGGGGGTGGGGGCAGGTGGCTTTTTCACATCAGGGTGCCCCTTAAATGAAGGAGCACCCTGATGTGGCCCCCCCCTTGTGAATAAATGAGTAAGGGGTACTTGTACCCCTACCCATTCACGAAATGGTTAAATAAAAGATTAAATAAAAACACCAGACTTTAATCAAAAATCCTTTATTTAAAAAAAAAAAAAATTGATCCATCGATGTAATCCAGGGTCAATCACGACGTCCGGCATTGTCCACGACGATGACTTCGGCGAACACACGAAATAGCGAAGTTCAAGTCGAACTCACGTTCGGCTCGAACATTGAGCCCAACCCTACATAAGAGATGAAGAGTGACCCGAGGACCTTTTTCCAGTACCCAGAACAGGTGCCGAAATGGATTGTTGGAATATTAGGTGGCTTCTGGGATGGGTGGTTTGTCTCCCTGGACCCTTGATTCAGCTGAAGGAAAAGACATGAGATGTGGAGCGAGCTGGGTACCTTATGCTGGCAGCCAGAACAGGTGCTAAACGTGCTGGGTTCTCCATTACAGGTGCCAAAATGGGTTTTTGGTTTACTAGGTGGCATGTCCCAGGCACTGGAATGGGCTCTTAGCAACCCTAGAATTCCGGTTTAGCTGTTGGTACAGGCATGAGATGAGGAGTGACTTGGAGAACTTGTTCTGGCAGCCACAAAACATGCTAAGCATGCTGGGTACTGGTGCCAGAATACCAGGGTGGTTGTTAGCATACTGGGTGGTTTGCTGCAGTCACTGACAAAGGTGCTCAATAGCCCTGGGATTATGAATCAACTGCCAGAAAAGTTATAAGAACCATAACTACATTCCCACAGTAGCCAAAACTATAACTAGATATGCTAGTTCCGGCAGCCAGAAAAGGTGTAACGCATGCCTTGTGGGCAACCTGAGGCTATTGGTTTAACTACCAGAACAGACTTAAGAAATGAAGACTGACCTCTTAAATTTCTTGTTTTTGCACTGCAAGTTAACTGCTCGTTTTCCTCTCAAGGCGAAAATAAAGGCAAAATACTCACCACCATCCTTGGTCCCAACTGGCTGCTAGACCGGGTCCCCACAGCCTCTTCTCCCCCAATCTCTGGTGGTCTAAGCACCTGTGACATCATCATGTCTAATACAGGTCCATTAGACATAAGGGCGCCAAGGGACATAGCACAGCCAGGGCGGAGGGGTAGAGAGGTAAGAGGTCACTGCCTCAGGAAGGAGGATTGGGTCTGTATTTCAGCTCTCTTTTTCGCCCCTAGAGAAATATGAGCAGTTAACCCTTGCAGTGCACTGCAAGGGTAAATTTAACCGCAAGGGTCAATTTAAAAAAAAGATCCTGGAGCTCAATACAGACAGTAGCAATACAATTCAACAAATCATTTATTAGCAACTAGCACTGTTGCCAGCAGAGGGAGCTCTAGCAATCGCTGTTCGGAATTGTTGTGGTACTGTTCCGCTGTTCTAGAACACCGTTCGCCACAGATGTAAAGTACATGACACTACAAAGCTCACACGTGCAGTGTACCACCACTAGAGGTCGCTGTTTCTCCGCTCAGTAGGAAGATATCTGGATGGACTCTCTTGCAACTTCCTAAACTATCGCGAGTTACGTCATAAGCGGCAGCTGACTAGATCACGTGAGTGGTGTACGGAAGAAGCTATGCTGATCATGGAAGCGGCTCTGGAGCAGCATTTGGAGGATACGTAAGGCGCTTTTGCTATACTGTATGGGGGCTTTGTAATGTATGAAATTGTGGTTGGGGGTTGAGATTCCCTGGCAAAATTGCTCCTTTATCTATTAAAGGTGGTTTATACGAGCATGAATATCTAATGCCTGAGAAAAGACACCTGCCATGAATAATAGGGTGGACACACGCAGGGGACTTCAACAATGTTTTAACATTATTTTTACATGTGTCCTGTTTTGTTTTTTCTTTTACTTTTTTTTTCTTCACTTTAATTGCTATCACATAGGGGGAGGTTAGAAACCCCCATGTGATAGCGTATTGGCAGTAACAGGTCCTCTTTAAGGTGATACTGGGGGTCCAAAAGACCCCTAGTATCACCTTTCCACTTGAAGTAAGCTATTAAAATGCAGATCATACTTCAGTAGCTTGTTACTGGGCTTCAAGAGCCGAGCAATGATCGCTATGGGACCTGAAGTGATGATGTATTTTGCATAGCTTCCGGTCCCATAGAATGGGTAGGAGATCGGTGAACGGACGTTTGCCACTCTCCTCCCCAGCTTCCTGTTGGCACCCTGCATGCTGGTTCCCGGCTTGCAAAGGGGCAGCGGAGCCCAGGAAACACAGCGGGGGTGTCGGGCACTTTACCGGCTTGTAGAAGCGATCTGGCTGCAGCTGAGTCGGCAGAATCTCTTCTATTGTAAAGCCCACAGCCGGATTTACAATTGTAAACAGTGTTTTAACCCATTAAGGACCCGAATAATTCCATCACGGGTCCTATAAAGGCAAATATATCCGTTTCTGAATTATCTACTTCTAAATACTGTTTCTACTAGGGATGCACCAATACTTTTCCAGTACCAGTGCCGATACTTGGCATTTTCATGAGAACTACAGGGGTTGCAGCAGAGACCTATCTCTGGCGCTCCACCACTGTCCTGAAATCATTAGTAGATATTGTTTTAGAAAAACTGTCACATGACACTAAACAAAAATGTATCAGCACTTGTAAGTACTTGGGCAAGTATCAGTACTTGTACTTGCAAAACTGGTATCGGTGCATCCCTAATATATATTTATAGAAACAAAATCGTACATTAAAACAGAGATGCACAAATCCCAGGAGCTCTGTATGCTCCTTACAAATGACAGCTGCCTCCTAACTTTTGAATTTTTCTCTAGTCTAGTCTTGGAGCTCGAAGATCAAAAAACATCTGTACTTGTACCGAGTACTGTACTTGGTATCGGTGCATCTCTAGTTTCTACAGTTGTAGATATCGAGACAATACCAAAGTCATGTTTGCATTGTGGCCTACTTTTGCACCATGTTGTGATATTTACTTGTTTCAATGACAAATATTTGTCATCTCTCTACGATACCTTTCTTCTATTTATTTGGTACATAAGATGCTCCAACAATCCCCTTCTTCCCTTTTTTTTTTATATGCTTCTGCAAGAATTGTAAGACACTTGATTTGTTTGATGTTATTTTAATACTGTGTTTTTAATTAAAAAAAATATATATATATTTTACTTCACTTTCTGTATGGTAGTTTTTCTTTTTTGCCACTGAGGGACGAGGGGGGTGGGAGGGGTTTTCAAATTTTTGATGTGTGTCCTGTAGATGGAGAAATCAATCAGCTCTCAGGTAGCAGTCCAGGAAGATTCTTGGAAGGACCGTTTTTAGTAGCTGTATATATTTTTGGCCTTGACTTATTGAAATACAAGAGGTATTTTGTTTGTCTCATTAGTTTTTGTAACATTACTTTACATTTCTTAACATTAAATTAGAAAATGCACATTCATAAAAATTATTACTTTTTTTTTTTACGAGAAACATTTTATTTTATTGGCTTTGTAAAAGGAACAAATCGATTTAATACAATTTTACTTTACGATCATTTTTGGAAGGCAGTGCCACCAAAAGAAGGTTTTATTTGTTCTCCCCTTCTTTAAATTGAGACTTATGATTTTCTACCCATTGGGTCTCGAAATTTAGTCTGTGGTTTACTTTATATTTTAAGAATAACTGTTAAGATTCTGTTATTTTTTTCCGTTGCATTGCAGGATGAAAAATCCATCCATTGTTGGAATCATATGCACTGACTCGCAAGGTTTGAACTTGGGGTGTAAGTCTCTTATGCTTATAATAAATAAGTATGTTGTAGACATTTTGCTCTATGTGGAGCTGTGGTCTTGACAAACTGAGTAAATGCAATTCTGTATGTATTTCCCAAAATCCTATAGCAATATATTGAATACTAGATCTTGTATGGCAGCTCAGAAGCAATAACAGCTCTCTCCTGCTGCACCGCACCGCCCCGCCCAGCCTCCGGTGACAGCCAATCCAGGATGGAGAGCAGCGGTGTGTGGGTGGAGACAGCTGTTATTGCTGTCACAGGAGGCTGAGCTGCCCTCCCGCACTGCCCCGCCCAGCCTCCTGTGACAGCGTGTCAGGATGGAGAGCGGTACAAGTAGTCGGTGATCGCTGAGTGTTTGTAAATAATTGAGGATATAGTACGGTTACTATAGCCTCAATTATGAATGAATGGGAAGTGATCTACATCACCTCCTGTTCATTCATGATTGTGGTTATAGTAAACACACTATGTCCAAGTTATGAATGAACAGGAACACTCAGTATAGAGGATTCCTGTTCATTTATAACCGATTGCAGAAGAGATTGAGCATTCCGTGTCCTCAATTTCTTTTTCTATTTTAAAGGGGAAATAGAGGTATGTTTAGACCCCAAATATTTCCCCGAAGCCCCTAAAAGTAAAGTAAAACATAAGAATATTTAATAAAAATGAATAAATAAAAAAAATGTAAGTTTATAAAAAATAATATAATATTTAAGAAAAATTGAAAAAGTTAAAATAAAAAACATTTTCAGTTTCGGCCTGACATAATTTTTTATTTTTTTTCATTTCGGTTTCAGTTTTGACATTTTCATTTCGGTGCACCTCTTGTATATACCGATTTTTAATATGCACCAATAAATGTAAGGTATTAATGATTTCAAAGCTTTTGTCGCACCCTGTACCTAAATGCTCTTATTCTGTAATAATTAGGGATGCACAGATACTTTGAGTACGAGTGCCGATACTTGGCATTTTCATGAGAACTACCAGGGTTGCAGCGGTTGCAGCTGGGACCTGGCTCTGGTGTTCCACCGCTGTCCTGAAATCATTAGTCTGTATTGTTTTAGAAAAACTGTCACATGACGCTAAACAAAAATGTATCATTACTCGTACTTGTAAGTACTCGGCAAGTACCAGTACTCGTACTCGCAAAACTGGTATCTGTGCATCCCTTTTATTTATAAAAACAATTAAATTTATATACATTTAAAACAGAGATGTACAAATCCCAGGAGCTCCGTGTGCTCCTTACACATGACAGCGGCCTCCTAACTTCTGAATTTTTTTCTAGTTTGTCTTGGAGCTCGAAAAGTATCTGTACATGTACTTGTACTGACTACAGTACTTGGTATCGGTGCATCCCTAGTAATAATAGTATTATTCTGCATTGCTGGGATTTGTAGTCCTCTATAGCTGATGGTATTAATATAATACCAGCTACAGGGGACTACAAATCCCAGCAATACATTATATGGCAATGCAGGATGACAGCGGCTATAGAGCACTACAAATCCCAGCAATAAAACCCCAATTCCAAAATAGGTTGAATACTGTGTATAATCTACATAAAAACAGAATGCAATGATTTGCAAATCTCATAAATCCATATTTTATTCACAAAAGAAAACATATCAAATGTTTAAACTGAGAACATTTACCATTTTAAGAAAAAACCGCTGGTATCGGGGCATATTCACAAGTACAAGTATTCGTGAAAATGCCCAGTATCGGCACCAAAACCAGTATTCAGTGCATCTCTACTTGTATGCATCACTTACTACTTTATATTATTTCACAAAAAAACTCTAACATTATTCATTTAAAAATGATTTGAATAAAAGCTTTTCAGAGGAGCAGTAGAACAAAAATGTTTAAATGGATGATCTACATGGAAGTATATTATTCCATTGTATCATTGCAAGACAGCTCAGAAATGCAACATATGGTGGTGCTTTACCACATATAGTTTGTCCAGTATATTTCCAAACTACCTGCAGAAATGGGTACCTTGGAGTACACATTAATACATATTAAAGTATTCTACTTCATCTAGGGGGGTAGCCACAAGAAAGTTACATTACATAGTTACATACACAGTTACAATATAGCCCTAAATATAGTACAACCAGTTTCACCTGACGCACATGAGTAGTAACAGCTATTGTAATGGGTTAAG